ATCACTGTCTGGGCAAAGGGGCACTGATGGGATGTGGCCATGCGACAGGTCAGGGATGGAGTGTCGGATGTGGCTGCTCTGGCTGCCAAAACCCCCATGCCTCCAGGACCCCCATCCTCCTGGGACCCCCATCCCTTCAGCCCAGCACTGCTCCCACACTTGGGGAGCAGGTGCAGGTGGTGGGGCCCAGGCAGGTCAGTGGCTCCATCTGTTGACAGGGAAATACAGCAGCCAGCACAGCAAGGGAGGGGAGAGATGCTCTGTGCTGCTGGGGTGCAGGGCAGGGGTGCAGTGCAGGGGTGGAGTGCAGGGATACAGTGCAGGGGTGCAGTGCAGTCCAGGGCTACAATCTCCCCTGGGTCTGGAGCACCTTTCCAGGTTCACAGCCGTCTTTAGGATCCAGCTGGAGGAGAAGCCGTGGCTGTGAAGCCCAAGGTGGGGTGACCATCTCCTTGCAGGAGGTGTTGGGGCGGTGGAGGGGACAGGTTTTGGAGATAGCCCTGTCATGAACCCCTTGCTGGAGGTAGGAGCTTGGAGGGTGGTTGGGAAGGAGGCTGCCACATCCCCTTTCCCTGTGATTCAGGTGGCTTGTGAGGCCATACGGGACTGCCCTTCAGCCTCCTCTGCCGCACTTTGTCTCTCTATAGATGCATTCCCCCTATTACGATTTCCATCCCATAGGCTAATGCTTACTGCTGATGATCCTTCAGAAGGATCCAGGAGCGTCGGATTGAACCAAACCCCGAGTGGAGCCGATGACCACAGCCCACATGTGCCACCCCCTGGACACTCGGCGTAAGCTACTGGAAGCCGCCGGATCCAGCGGCAGAAGCCTCCAGGTCTGGCTGCTGTTGGGTGGGAAAGGTGGAGATTTGACACCTCTGGGGCTCACCTCCCGTCACACGGGACCCAAAGGGGCACCAAAGCTTAGATATGGACTTCTGGGGTGCTGTGGGTGGACTTTACCCTGCTGCTCCACAGCCCTGCCAGCCCTCGGCGTATCCTCCCAGTCAGACTCTTGCTGTCTCAGGGGGAACTGGGCTCTCCTGCCCCTAAGGGTCACAGAACACCATAGGGAACAGTGAGGTTTAGGAGCTGTTCCACTAAATCCTCTCCAAATTTGCAAAGAGCACTAAACCTCTGGGCTTGTCACAGTTTCTGCCAGCCCTCTGGGGTGTAGCTGGGGTTGGTAGGAGATGGGGTATCTGTGGAGCTGAGATTTTGGGAAATAGGAGGAAGGAATCAGCTCTCTCTGGCCCCAGGAGCGGAGGGCACAGGAACAAAAAATCTCGTCTTTTGGAAACCCATGGAAAATGGGATTTTATATACATTTATTGCACATAATATGCCTCAGTATGCTCACAAAGGCTCTTGCAGAAGCATCGCTGTTTCACCTGGCACCGGGAGCTGAGATGCTATCTCCGGGACTAGCTGTCAGTGCCAGGCAGAACCAGGGCGTATCAACCCGTCCTGCGCTCAGGACACCGTGCAATCGCCTTGACATGTCCCTGAGATCTGCTTCTGGTCCGAAGCCAGGCAGGAGGAGGCTTCCTGCGGGAGCTTTCCCCGCCGCGGGCTCCCTGAGTCTCAAGCAAGCCCTTTGTGCCCGCGGGTCAAACATCTTCCCTTGGAAGGAGGGAAAGCGCTGGCTTGGATGTGTTCGGGATGAACGGGGCATCCCCCCCTCGCTGTCCCTGCGGAGCGCTCCCCGGGCCGGCCGGGCGGCAGGTGGCAGCAGAGCCGGGCTCCCAGCTCAGCTCGGGGCTACCCAGATGCGCTTCCATCCAAAGGGGTTTTCCTGCGGGACAAGGGACTTCTCCCGGCTGTGCCGTGCCCCTGCTCCTTGACCAGCAGGGAGGGGGAAGCACATTGGCAAAGGAGGGCTGCGAAGATGCTGCGAGAGCTGGAGCAGCTCTGCTCTGGAGCCAGGCTGAGAGAGCTGGGCAGCTTCAGCCTGGAGAACAGAAGGCTCCTGAAGGGGAGACCTTAGAGCAGCTCCAGTGCCTAAAGGGGATACAAGAAACCTGGAGAGGGGCTTGGGACAAGGGCCTGTAGGGACAGGCCAAGGGGAATGGCTTGAACCTGCCCGAGGGGAGACTGAGCTGAGCTCTTAGGAAGAAGCTCTTCCCTGTGAGGGTGCTGAGGCACTGGCACAGGGTGTCCAGGGAAGCTGTGGCTGCCCCATCCCTGGCAGTGTTCAAGGCCAGGTTGGACGCAGGGGCTTGGAGCAAGCTGCTCCAGTGGAAGGGGTCCCTGCCCGTGTCAGGGGTTAGAACTGGATGAGCTTTAAGGTCCCTTCCAACACAAACCATTCTACGACTCTATGAAAATCAAACTGGTTCTGGGCTGCTCTTCATCCCCAGCCATCCCAAAACTGCCATCATGACCTTGCCAGGGCTCTGTGGGGCATGGTGACAGCCCAAACATTTCTCTCCCTGCCCCTCCTGGGGAGTATAAGCAGCTCCCACTGTGCTGAGCAGTGGTTTCCCATCCCTCTCAATAGGGAACCCTGTGGGTCAGGCAGAGGGGACAGTCTCTGGGAAGGTAAAAATGAAACAAAGCACAAGGCTGTGCGAGCATGAACAGGTTTTCAGCGGGATTTCATGGCACCTGCCCTATGGCTGGAAGCACAGTCAGGACCCATGGGGGGTGCAGGGCTGGTTGAGGCAGCCAAAGCTCTCCATTGGCATCTGATGACAGAGAGGGGGCCAAGGACACCCTCTTCTTAGGGCACTCTGGGGTGCCTGTTTACAGGGACAGGTGGTTTTGCCAAGTCATGGGTCAGGGCTGGCAAGCACCCAGTGCTGGATGGAGGCTTGAGGCCATGCACCCTCAAAGAAACAGTGAAGGGAAGAAAGTGTAACCCCCTGGCAGGGAGCTGGGAGCATCTTCTCCAGCCTGTTGGGCTTCTCCAAGACCCTTGTCTCATTGAAAAGGAGTTAAATAGGGAGAAAGCAGTGTCTGCTTTGCAAGCATGGAGCTCTTGTTGGTGGAGCAGCTCCTACCAGGAAGGTGGGCACAGGGATGGGGTCAAGAAGTCCCCAGAGGCATAGTGGGGTTGCAAAGCTCCTGCTTTGGTGCTGTATGGTTTTAGGAAGCCCAAACCTGGCCACAGGGGCACATGAAGGCTGCTGCCAGCATGTAGTGAGTCTTTGAGCCTGCAATTGCTTCTGAGTGGGAGAGAAGGAGATGGGGACCAGATGAGGATGCTGGAAGTGGAGGATCTGCATCCCTCAGTGCTGAGCCACCACCAAATATCTCTCTTTTACTCCCTATCTCTCCTCTCCCTGGAAGTAGGGATGGGGACATTTCTCCCAGGGTAAGGGAGCACCAGCACTGGTGTCGCCAGTTCCCAAAGGACCAGCCATGCAGGGAAACCCACCACAGCTCCGTGACTTCTTGAGCTGCACCAGCATGCGCTGTGGTGGACAATTCCCCCTGTCAGAGGCAGCCCCTCTCTCCTTTACCAGCTCTGCCTCCTCCTGGGGCTCCGAGTTATCTCTGGCACTGATGTCCAGGGTGCCTTGCTCACCCCACCCAGCCTGGCGCACCAGAGATGCATTCGGAGCCGGGGCTGCCCTCTCCTGATTACACACAGGGGTGATGCAGCTTTTATCATGGGCAAAGCGCTGCGGGCTCCCAAGAGCCCTGTGCTCAGAGCCCAGCTGTGCTATCTCCCCTCTTCATGTGAGCCACACGAGCTGCAGCCTGCCTATCTGACAGGCACCACGAGCAGGACACGGTCACTGGCCTCTGCACAAGGGAGAGGGCCATTGTTGCTGCCTATGGAACCGGTTCTTCCAGGGAAGGATGGGTCCTGATTGCACTCACACTGGTGCTGTGATCCCCTGAACACCAGTAGCTGCTCCTGGGACAGGTCCAGCCCTAGAGCCTGATGTCCTGTCCTTGGGAGGGGGATGAAGGGGCAGGCTTGCCCTCCAGCAGCCATGAGACCTTCAAAATGAGATGAAAAGGGTTATGAAGTGTGTTAGAAAATGTTTAAATGTGAGCATCTGACCTCATTGCAATTTCCCTTGGGGTTTTCCTGGTGCTTGGGCTATCACACAACCAAGTAGGTCACTAGAGGGGTTGCATGTGGAACAGCTTCACTAGACAAAGCATCCAAAACAGCATCACTTGAGGAAGCTCCACAGGAACATCTTCCACTGCCTTCTGAAATAACAGTGCCATCCTAAAGAGCAGCTGGGGTGCCTGCATCAGTCACTGGGTCCCCTGCTTGGAAAGGGAGCAACATCGAAGTGTTTGGGGGCAGGAGGAGGGATAGACAGACTGGAGAGCCCTGGGAGGAGGTATCAGTCTGAAGATCAAGCAGACGATGTGCCCGGGTGCCTACAGCTATTGTGAGCACCAGTGGCTCAATGCTCCAGCCTCTGCCAGCGTTATCAGCCATCATAACACTCTGTCTCCAGGTGCAGAAAGACAAGAAGTGCCTTGATGGGGATCACTAGGGAAAGTTATGCTATTAACAGTAATCATCAGTCAGGTGTGTGACTGACGCTGCCTTGAATTTTCGCCTCTGATGGCCTTGTATCATCGGGAAAGGGAGAAAGTCAAAAGCAGCCTCTGACATGGCTCTTGCCCTCCTCTGGTGCTGTTCTGGGCAGGTTTCGTGCCCACCAGCACTCACAACCCCTGGCTGCCCTGCAGGCTCAAGCTGCTGTCCCACTCCCTGCTCCAAGCCACCACTACCAGCTCCTCCCTGCCCAGATAAAACCCGGGGATGTTTTGGTTTGGCGCGAGCTTTGGTTTTGCATCCTTAGCAGAGGAATTACAAACAATAAGATAAGGCTGTAGAATAGAAGCGAGCTCAGAAAACCCTGCTCCGAGTGCAAAGAGGCATCTCCTGACCGGCAGACTTGGGTTAGGACTTAAATTGCTGCCAAGGGCTCCTGCAGAGCTGGAAAACCCTCAGTGCTGCCTTGGGGAGGTCCTGTGCTCACCTTGCACTGCCGCTACTGAAACAGAGACAAGATTTGCTTAGAAGCAGTCTACAGGGGTGGAGAGGGGCACTGTGTGCATCTCCCCCTGTCTTTTCTTCCTGAGGATGGAGAGGAACTGAAAGGTGTTTCTCTATGAAGAGGGTGAACTCCTGCCTGGATCCTGTTGTTTCCACTCCGGAGTCCTGGCCCTGCCTGCTGTGAGATGAAAATGTGTTCAAGAACAAGTGGGGCTTGCTGACAAGCATGAAAATTGAACAGACTGAAAGACAGGTGAGAGATCGTGGCTCTGGCTGCACGCAGCTTCATGTCGCATTTAGGCTGGTTACAATTGAACTTCAAAGTCTAACAACCAGCCTGGCAGGAGGTCAGACTCCCTTTATGGGAGCACCTCTTGTATCACCATGAAATCAGGCAGCTAAAACCTAACAAAATCCACTTTTACATTCTGCATTTCTGGCCTGAGATTCCCTTCACTCAGTGTGGTTGGAGCTGGTCAGTAGTTGTCACTGTGCAACAACCATCTATAACATCATCAGGACTTCTTAATTTGCTTGATATAATTGATATTGCTTGATATGATTGTACAAATGAACACAGTGATGCAGAGCACAGCCCCTGTATTCCCAGGTTTGCAATTAAACTTCCCATCCCACAGTAACTTCCACTGACAGCGTTGGAAGACAGAGGATGTTTTGGGTCCCCGGGCTGGGTCTCTTTTTCCCTTGTTGCTTGTTGGTGTCAAGAACCTCGTTGAGAAGTTCAAGGGCAGGAGAGGCAAGTGCAAGTATAAAGTCATAAAATACAGCATCTCACAGCCTGAAGTCCTGGTCCACTGGCTCTTTGTGGGCAATGGATCCTCCTGATGCTTTTCATGCAAGCATCTCCGTGAGCATCCTGTAGTCATGCTTGCCCCCTGGAGCTGATAAAGCAGGCCTGCTATATTCTGGGGTTAATTAGAGATACTGGTTGATGTCTTTACAGCTGCTGATCTCGATGAGCCTTTCCTACAGCAACAGCTTCAGGGTGATCTTTTAAAACCACTGATGGAGCAGTTCCTCTGCTTTCCTCCCGTCTCCAGAACCAAGTGAGATTCTCCTGAGGGCCACTACAGAGCCAGGGAGCTCCCCACAACCTTCCACGTACTAAGCATTATCTGGCATCCCTTGTCCAGGTCTCTGCAGGGAGGGAAGCAAGGGGAAGAGGGATTTGTCCTTACCCAGGCCAATGTCTCTTTGCTGTCCCCAGTCCCATCACTGCTCAACCAAAGGGAGGGCTGGCACAGACCTGGCATATCTGCGCCTCTACAACCTGTTCCCATCCCTGATGACCTCCCTGGGGACAAAGCATGAACATGAGCCCTTTTAGCTGCCGTGTTTGTATACACAGGCTTGTTGCTGACACAGATCCTTTAATCCCCCTTGCCTGTGTCCCACGGACCATGCTTGTACAACAGTGGCCACAGTTGGGTGCTGGCACTGCACTTTACTGAAGCCCTTTTACCTCTGACTCGCTGATCAGCTGCTGACAGGCTGTTATCAGGAGGCTGTGGTGAGCTCAGTGGCAGTGCCAGCATCCTGGCTAAGGAAACTGTCCCCAGACTGACTTGTTGTCAGGGGATGGGGAGGACCAATGTGTGCAGCTTTATTCTTTAGCACCATCTCTATTATTTAGCATCATCTCACCCACATCGTGGGCCTTCAGCTTGGACATAGGGGTGACTCAGCACGTGATTTAGCACGCTGATGTTTCCTTTGCACCAGCAAAATATTTGGGAAAGCAAACACAAAGCTGGTGAAGCTGTGTGGGAGTTACGGCCAGAGAGCCCAACTCACTGCAGTGCACAAGTAGAGAGGAGGGATGCTCAGAGCAAGCTTAAGCATGGTCCCCCTGTACCTTGGGCTCACAGACCCTCCACTGCTGGTGATGGAGACCTGCACTTCATGTGGGTGAGTTGTCTCCACCATTCAGGACAGGCTTATGATAGGGCCCTTGCCTGATTCCTCCTCCTCTGGTACCACTGTGATGCCCAGGCTGCTTGTGCCTGGCACTGGAGTACATGTGGCTGCAAAAGCATCATGATAGAATGCCTGGTACCCTTGGAAATCAGAGGGTAAAAGTCTGACCCTTTTACACAAAATAACAAGCAGCTTTTAGCTTTGCTTCTCACTGTTCCTCAATCCCCTAGCAATCTGAGGAGGAGAACAGCACCCATCACATCCATACGTATCGGAGCACCGCTGCTCACCAAACACCCGGCAGCAATGTAATTGTGTTACTGGCCAGGCTAGGATTTGAATGGCGAAGCCCAGGGCTTTGCTTTGACTGCAGATGGGTAAAACAATATTTAAATAACTGCCAGGCACTGGAAGGAGCAGGAGTCCCATGGGAAAGGAGAGAATTTGCAGCCATGTGTGCCTGATGGTTTTATTGTGAATGTACAACCTGCAAAGGGAGCAAAGGACGCTGCTGAGAGCTGCCTCTGATTTAGTATTTCATAACTTTGGTGGCTGACTCCAAGCCTTTTGGTTGTTAATTATCCTTAGGTGCTTAGAGGAAAATATCCCAGCAATTCCACCCATAAATCTTATTGATTCTCACCTTGAGGCTTTGGGAGCTTTTAGGGCACCTGCACAAGCTGCCACTGCTTGAACTGATTGAGCTCCATGGAGCAGCCACTTGTGCCTCTTGCACATTAGGCATGAGGCAGAAAGATGTATGTCTCCAGCCAGCTCTGGCACAAGATGTTGATGGTTGAGAAACATGGACTCTTGGTACTCACAGCATATTGCCAGCACACTTTGCTTCTCCATGGGAATGGCACATCCCTGGCTGGACTGAGCCAGAGGCCTCCATGGTTGCTGTGGGCAGGGACCCGAGAGAGATGCAGGACATCTCATCTGAAGCACAGAATGCTTACGGCATTGTGGAGAAGGATGCTAGAGCATGTATACCTCATTTCTCTTTGTAGAAGCCACTGAAAAAAGCAGGAGTATATCTGGAGTATTTTTGCTGAGATTTCTGGTGGCAGAGGGGTGGCATGGAGGGAAATATCCCTCAAAGAAAGTATCAGCATCAAAGGTCAACTTGTGCCATGTTTTCACAAGCACCTGGAAACTCAAATGATTTAGGGGACATGTTAAGCAACCTTGGACTAATATATCTAGAGCAAAACAGACAAGGTGTGAAATTATGGTCTAGAGGAGGTATTGCTTTCTACAGCCAATGTCACCAATAACTAGGAAATGGGGATGGGTTTAGGATTTTTCTCATGCAGACAAGGTTATTTACTGGCTTTGGGAGAATCCCACAAGAATGTGGCTTTTGGAGGAAAAACCTGTGACCTTTTAGAAGGATTTTTTTCATAAGAGAAAGTAGTGATAGCACAAGCTGGAATGGCTTCAAACTGAAAGAGGGTAGATTCAGATTAGACATGAGACAGAAGTTCTTCCATGTGAGGGTGTTCAAGGCCACGTTGGACGGGGCTTGGAGCAACCTGCTCTAGTGGAAGGTATCCCTGCCCATGGCAGGGGGCTAGGACTGGATGAGCTTTAAGGTCCTTTCCAACCCAAACCAGTCTGGGATTCTATGATTCTGTGATAAAAGTAGCTCTGTATCATTAAAAAACATGCAAAGCCTGCATAGCGGAGTTCAAATTTTTCAATTATGGGATAATTATCCTCATTTCAATCTTACTTCTTAATAAGTAAAGCAGGAACAGCTTAATAATAAGCAGGAAAATCCATGGGGTGCACTCTGGACACAAACATATTTGCAGCACCGCTTCCCAGTGGCAGAAGATGGGTGGAAGCAGCAAGGGGGAAGTGGCTCCATACAGAGCTGATGGGAGCTGGTTCCCACCTCACATGTGGCATGAGTGCCCTGAGCAGCACGGTGCCTTCAGCTGGCTGCAATGTCGAACCACAGAGCCTGAGCCCCAGGGCCGTGGAGCCCTGCTATGTGAAAGCATTTTTTAATGGGGTTATAATGGAACTCGTTAGTGTCCGCTGTTTTATTACGCAGGTTGAAAATTACCTATTAGTGTGAATGCATTCCATCTTCATGCTGATTGTTCATATGCTTCACTAGGAGGGTCCAAAACACATTTATCTTGGAGCTACTGAGTATCTTTCATCCCTCTGGATCACACAGCTACAGATAGAACAAGCCTATGGGACTGCCCATGAGCACCCATTGTGTTCTCATCCCCTTGCCCTTGCAGGAGAAGCAGAGAATTTGTTGCTCTGTGTGTTGTGCTTTTGTGCATGGCCCCTTTCCCTAGAGCAGGGGTGTGAGCTTGGTGGTTAAAAACGTGGAGTAAGGAGAGGTTAAAAGCTGGATTAAAAAAGGAGAAACTGGGGATACTGAGGGCCAACCAAGACCCAGAGATGCTCAAAGACATTAGCAGCTGCCATCAAAGCATCTTTAAACCTCCAGGCCAGTGTCAAAGCAGCCAGGCATCTGTGATAAATATGCAAGCCACGCTTCAGTCATGGAGAAAAAAGCTGTTGTGCACGGAGCAAGGGAGGTGGGAGCTCCTGCCCAAATCACTGCTTGCCAGTGGAGTTTCCCTGGAGACTGCTTCCTTGGAGCCTGCGCGGCCAGCACAGGGCTGGGAGGCAGCGCTCAGAGCTTGGTGTGAGCCAGGCAGGCCTGGGGACACATGTGGGGCAAGGGATGCAGTGGAGAAGCAGGCTTGGGGGTGATGGTTAGGTGCTTTCATTGCATTTGAGGAAGGCAAAGCTGGATTATTTCCCAGTGAAACGTGCTGTGGAAAAGTGGTGACTTTTTGGCTGCTTCTCTGCAAGTTGTTGAACCTGAGGACCAGAATATCCCAGTGCTGGAGGTGTGGTCAGAGCAGGAGAAAATGAGTCCAGCAGAGGAGCACTGGGGTGTGTGGAGTTTGATAGACCCAGCTTCCCTTCAAGTGAAGGATGGGTGTTTGAGAGCTGAACATCCAAGGCGGTTTGATCCTGTGGCGGATGCGGGAAGCTTACACTGATGCTTCCCTCTCTCCCCCTTTGCCCATGCATTTCTATCACTGAAAGCTCTGCCAAGGTTTGGCCTGGCTGTCCGCTAAGGCTCACCTACCTCCCTCCTGCCTGGCAGCTCCAGAGCCAGTTTGGCTCTCACCAGGGGCTCCATCCCACTCACGTGGCAGGTGGAACAGCATCCCAAAGGGATTAAGCAGCAGGAAGGGGGAACAGAACAGGAACCCATTGAGCTGCGTGTCCCCCAGCTACAGCTCAACCAGCAACAGGCTGTACTCCCCACTAAGGTCTCCTCAAGAGGGTAAAGGTGTGAGCGTGGTTGGCAGGAAGGTGGTCGAGCTGATGGGAATTGTGTAGCCCCTGGGCTGTGCTTGTGAGGAGCAGATCATTGGGCTATATGCAGTACAGGATGTTGCTGGTGTTACTGTAACTCTGGTGTCAAGAGCATCCTCTCTGGGTGTTCAGCCAGCCAGCCAGGACACTGGCCTGCTCTTCTGGGGTTATAAACTTCCTCTAAACTGTGACTGCAGCCCAGAAAGCCAGCTGTATCCTGGGCTGTGTCAAAAGGAACATCATCAACAGGTTGAGGAAGGTGATTCTCCACTTCAACTCTGCTCTTGTGAGACCCCTCTGCAGTCCTGTATCCAGCTCTGCAGGCAACAGCACAGGAAGGATGTGGAGCTGTTGGAGTGAGTCCAGAGGAGGGCACAGAGATGCTGAAAGGGCAGGAGCAGCTCTGCTCTGGAGCCAGGCCGAGAGAGCTGGGCAGCTTCAGCCTGGAGAACAGAAGGCTCCTGAAGGGGAGACCTGAGAGCAGCTCCAGTGCCTAAAGGGGATCCAGGAAACCTGGAGAGGAGCTTTGGACAAGAGACTCTAGGGACAGGCCAAGAGCAATGGCTTTAACCTGCCAGAGGGGAGACTGAGCTGAGCTCTTAGGCAGAAGCTCTTCTCTGTGAGGGTGCTGAGGCGCTGGCACAGGGTGCCCAGAGGAGCTTGTGGCTGCCCCATCCCTGGCAGTGTTCAAAGCCAGGTTGGCCACCTGGGCTTGGAGCAACCTGCTCCAGTGGAAGGTGTCCCTGCCCGTAGGAGGGGGTTGGAACTGGATGAGTTTTAAGGTCCTTTCCAACCCAAACCAGTCTGAGATTCTATGAACCCTTTTGTAATTTCACTGTCCAAATTCTCATATATATTTTGGTTGCAGCACACACTGGTGATCCCGGAGGCTGCAGTATTCAAGGGTTGGGTACCAAGGGACATGTGAGTCAAGATGGTCCCAGCAGAGCATCCTTGACAGCCTGAGACTCCCTCTGCAGACCTGCCAGACCCTTGACCGTGTTCTTTCCTCCTAACAGCTCCGCTGGGAAATCAGCTTTTTATCCTTCGTAAACCAACATCTTTAGTGCCTTGTCACACTGCTGGGCTTTGCACATATGTATCCCCAGGGCTGCAGGACACGACAGGAGCTCCCAAATAAACCCTTCTGGTAAGAAGCAGAGCGATATGGTCACTGGTAGAGGGAAATGGCTGGGAGAGTCTTGATCAGAAAAGAAAAAGCACCGAGGGCCACTGCGAGCTGGAAGGGTTTCGCTAAAACTATATCAGCAGTGGAGTATACATTTGAAAAGTGTGTTATACGTACAACCCGCGGGGTTTGGGCTCTCTGTCTTGATAGCTATAAGAATTAGGGGTCAAGTACCAAAGATGTTAGTGGCGATGACGAGTGGGTGGCATCCCACTGCCCATCCCATCAGCCTCAGATTTTAACCTCCTCGGTTGGCAGCCCATGTGCTTTGCCGGGCTGAGGACACCGGATGGGGTTTCCCTATGACAGAGTCATCTCCCTCGGTCACACACGGGCTCTTTTCCCGGTCCTTCCATTGGTCCGCTACCCCCGGGTGTGGGTACATGAGACCACCCTCATCCCTCGGCTCCGGGTTGATCCCGCAGCAACACCCCCGTTCCCCCCCCCGCTCTATCCCCCCACCCCGTGTTTCTGCAGCAGCGCATCGCGGGGCTCTCCCCGACGGCAGTCCCGTGGTGAAGCCCGGTGCAGGGTCGGGGAACGGGACCTGTTCCCCCCCCGCCACAAGCTCCGACCGTGCGGCCCCTTTAAACAGCCCCCCCCTGGCCCCCCCCGCACCACCCTCCCGTCCCCCTCGCGCAACCGGGCGTTGCATCAGGCACGTGCGCGCCGCCGGCGGGGCCCCGCCCCGCTCCGCCCCTCCCCTCCCGGCGGCGCGCGCGGGCGGGCGCGCCCCCGCGGCAGTCGCGTGGTCCCCGCGCGGCTCCATATTGCGGCGGCGGCGGCAGCGCGGGGGGGGTTGGGGTGGGGGGGGCAGCGGGGCTCGGGGAGGTCCCCGTCGGGTGCGCGCAGATGGCGACGCAGGTGGAGGCGCTGCTGCCCGGCGCCCCTCTGCTGCCCGGCGAGGAGCGCGCCCTGGTGCTGAAGCCGCCGCAGGACGGCAGCCGGGAGAAGGGCGAACCGCCCATGGGCCCCGACGGCGGCCTCGCGGCGCCGCGGCCGCCCAGCGCTAAGCAGCAGAAAGAGGAGAGCAACAACCAGGAGAAGGAGAGCCTGCTGAGGGCCGGCGGCGAGGCGGAGGACGGCGGCGAGGCGGGCGGAGCGGGGCGCAGGGAGTTCATCGAGGCCCCGCCGCCCAAGGTGAACCCCTGGACGAAGAACGCCGCCGCGCCCGCGGTCAATGGGCAGTCGCCTCCAGGTGAGTGCCGGCGGTTGGAGCCGGGGAAACGGGGGAGTGTGTGTGTTGGGGGGGTGGTTGGTTGGTTGCACCGCCGACCGCGCCCCGGCCGGCCGCGCCATGCGGCACACGGTGTGCGGACGGCGCCTGCGGCCTGGCCGGGCAGTGGGGCCGCGGCCGGCGTGAGGGCAGCGCGGCGGGGTCCGGTGGGGGGTGGGTGTGCCGGTCGGTGCAAGTCGGAAGCGGCGGCGCCGTCCGTGGCCATGAGGCGGGGAGCGCGTGTGCGGGGGAGGGGAACGCGGCCCGGGCAGCGGCCATGAGGCGGCGGAGGGCGGGGGGGGGGGACGGACCCGGGGCCTGTTGGCGGGCATGCGGTGCCCCCCCCCTCCCAGCTCCCAGCATTCCGCCGCAGCGCAACGTGGTCGCTTCTCCGGGCACGGCCAGCGAGCGGCTTCCCCGGGAGCGCGGCCCGGCCCCGGTGGTGCCGCTGCTTCCCTTCACCGCGGCCTGGCGCTGCCCACGTGTGCGGCGGCTCGCCCCCGGCGCGCAGGCCGCGCCGCCTTTCTCTGCCGACTCATGGCGGCGGGGCCGGGGGCTGCGGCCGAGCACGGCTCTGCTCCGGCGCGCCCGTGCATTGGGTGTTGATGGTGGGGTCGGCAGTGGAGACTGCATGGCTTGAGCAAGGGCGGGTATCCCTAAGTGGACGCTGCCCCTTTGCTTCCCCACGCGGCTCCGACGGTAGCGACGGGGCGACGCTGTCCAAATCGCGTTTGCAACCCGCTGCTGTCGTCAGCAAAGGCTGGAATTGCTGAGCACCATTTGCTGGGAAGTTGGGATAGGTGCTGGAGGGCGTCGCTCCTACCTGGGTCGGGTGAATCGGTGCAGAGAAGGGAAAACACAGAAGTTTTCACTGAGGGGCTTGTTTGGGAAGGAATCGGCGTTTTTCCTTCCTGCCTCTGTTAACTGTAAAATCGCGCTGCCAGATATGACATCAGATTCCCAGTTACTGTATGTGCTGGTGTTTTGCAAGAACTCTTACTGCCTAGCATGATGATTCATCAGAGGTATCAATCTTTGGAAGAAGGACAGCTTGGCAGTTTCCACCTGGGAAGCTGTCACCTCAGTGGGGAGTATAGAGAAGTTAATTGTGTCAGTTAGAAGTCTGTGTTCAGATTGTTTTGGTTTGCCATTGTACGCACCACCATAAGCGAAGCCTAAGGAAATCCAGGGCAACATTGCTGTCCACATTTGTTCTGTGACACAGAACTGATCAAATCACTCCTTTGTATGGAAGCTGCACTCCGTCGTGCTGCCTTTTTGAGTAAAAATCCCTAGAAATAAATGAAAACATGCAAAAACACGCGGTTGAATGTTCCCGTTTAAGGCTCATGTCTAAGATGCTTCCAGATTCGTTCTGGTGCCCATCACAGAAGTGGTTGACTCGTCAAAGCAAGAAGAGCAGTCTGCCCAGCATGAGGAAGGGGCCCTGGCAGCTCTTGAGCTGACTTTATGAGGGAGGGAATGTGTCAGTAGCATGTTCACCCTATGGTAAGGCAACGGGGTAATGCTGCGACACTCAAGAGTTTTCTTGGTTCCGTCTCTATGTTCCCGAAGGTGTTTAAATAGTAGAGTTGATTAGTAGCATGTTTTGGGACGCTTGGAAGCTGTGACTGGATCCTGCCATGCCCCAGACCCTGCCACTTGGCTCTCATCTCTTGGGGCATTGTTTCTTTTGCTGCCTGTTGGTTAGCAAAAGGGAAAATGCGTAAAACAAACACGGCTGGTGATCTCCCACGAGAGGCAGGCTGGCAGCTGACCTTGCCTGGTGGCCCTTCGCCCAAGAACCTTCTTGTACAGTTCGCAGGCTCCCGTTGGGTGTTCACTGCTTCAGGTGGAGGATTTGTTTTGGCAGATGCTTACAGACACCAAGATCTGGAACGTGAGTTAGTGTGAAAGATGGTGCTGGTGAGGTGAGTTGTTGTGTTGCAGTGACCTCCGGGAGGACGGCCTAAGAAGAGTGAGTCCTTTGTACATTTGAAGTAAAATGAGAGCTTTTAAAGTCCAGAAAGTCACCGCTGGATGCTTTTGGTTTTTCAGCAGAGCTTAGAAAACCATCCTCACGATCCAGCAGTGCTTGTGTGCTGGAGATGCTAAAGGTTTCCAGCCCTGAGTGAGTGAGAAGACCAAGAAGCTTAGTATCTGTAAAGATAAGGGCTTGTTTTACAGGCTTTGAAAACCCTCTTTTTTTTTATAATGATTATTTAATTATAGACCCACAGAGCAGATTTTAGGACAGGGCTTACTCCTTAGGTGTTCACCCGTCCTGCAATGGTCTGTGTTGGAGCTGGTGCTTGAGCTGTGGCCCAGAGAAAACACAGGCACCTTCAGGATCTTCACGAGTTTCTGCTGTGTCAGAACATGGATAGGGAAGAGCTTAACAAATCTGCCTCTGGCTGTTCTGAGCTGTTTGGGTCTCTGCAGCTGGGGAATTTGCATGCACTGGGGGGGCTGATGCAGGGACTGGGGAATTTGATGAGTTAGGGTTTATCTTCAGAAGCTGGTGTCTTGCCTAGCTGCGGTGGCATTTACGCTCAGGGTTGTCAGTGAGGTCTGTAATTGGGTGTTTGAGTCAATGCTTCTGCTTTTTCAGGAAGGACTGTTGAAGCAAAGCCTCTCCTTGCTGCTTAACCCCTCCTCCCAAAAGCACATCGGCGTGGCAGTTAAGTGGAGCAACCATTAGATCGAGTTAGACAACTGGTGCTGTTCAGCAGAGGCTGAGGCTCAGCTGGAGTGGCACAGCAGCAGATTTTCCTGCTGTCTTGACAAGATGTGTGTTACATTTCTGTTTGTGAGTGTTTCAGAGGTTGGGGTAGCAGTTTCACTCCTGAGAAAACACATGGTCCTGTCCTATATGGCAAGGTTTGCACTGGACACTGCTTAGGGCTTGTGAGGGATGTTGGCAGAGCTGGTGATGATGCCTTGTGTTTACTCTCTAATGATCTAGGAATGAGGTCTGTCCTCTGTCCCTTGGTTGTTGCACACACTCTTCTTATCATGTAAATAAATGCAGCCAGCAGCCTGACTGGCGAAGGCATGATGGCAGTGTGTGTGTCTGCAGCAGCAGAGGAAACATCTCCTGGCAAAAACAGCTTTGCACTTTTTGGCTATAAACCAAATTCAAAGTATTTTCTCAATTTCTTCTCTAGAGCAGAGTGGCTTGCAGTTAAGACAGCTCGACCTTCTGGAACATGTTGGACTGCTCCACTGTGCCCTGCACCAGGGCTGGTGCTGATGCAAGCATTGGTGCAGGCAGGTGTTAACAGCACCCCGTTTTGAAAACCTGCTGGATTTAGTTCAAGAAATGTTGCATCAAGGCACTTGGCACTTCTTAATTTTTAAAGCCATTTATATCTTGGAAATAAGAACACTCCGTTTTAATGCCTGGCACTGCGATTGCTGAGCTTTGCCTGCACTAACTTTTGTGTTCTCATTGCAAAGACTCAGCCAGGAGAAAATGGCATATTTCCTAGTGGAGATGCAGGAGGTGTTTTCATTTCTTGAGTAGTTTCTTTTCTTGCTTGTCATTTGGCAAATGCACTGGGTGGGTAAGCAGTACTTTCCAGAAGGCACACCTTAGTTCCTAGCAGCGAGCACCAGAGGCTCACTGACTATTGTTCAGTGAGAGCATGTGTTGCTTTATGCCAGAGGAGAGGCTGGGTTGGCTACCAGAACTGAGGAGAAGGCACGGAAAGATGTGTTGGCTCCTCACCCTTCACTGACTTAACTGCCCATAGGGCTTTCCTTGAAACCAGCCTCTAGTACAGGAGATAAGATGTATGGGAAGCTTATTTTACTTTGGCATTTCTTTTCCTTCAGAATAGATGCGTGCATCTGCCTGCTTTGGATATCCAGCTCAGTAGTGCTGCACACACCTATTTCCAAAGTGTTGGGCAATTCTCGCTCTGTCGTGGCATGTAATTGTGGAGCTCTCCTGGCTGTTGCAACAGAGCTGCTATCGCAGCAGGAGTCCTTCCCCACACCAATAGTGCCCCAGGTTTCCTCTCTGAAATACTCTTTGGATCCCACAACTCAGGTTTGAGTAACTCTTCCATCTTGCTGGGGAGGAGGATGAGGGTAACTGGAACTCACTGCTCCAAAAAACTGTGAAGTATTTTCCCTCCCCCACATACCTTTGCCCTTCAGCTTTGTGCTGGACCTTTGCCCTGTTCTGCACTGTTTGTTTCGGGAAGGCTGGGGAATGCAGTGCAGCTCCTGAGAGCTGACTCACTGGCCCTGGTTGCTTGGCTTCAACACTCGCTTCTGCTGTGACCTCCTGTTCCACATTGCCAGGTCCAAGGCATCACTGGAGGATTGTCACCAATCGCCTCCTTACCCTCACACCTCTTCTTTTAAGCTGTTTATTACCTGTGGTGCCATGGGGGTTTTCGCCAGGGCTGCATCTGGGATCGCTGGCCTGAGCAGTAGAAGAACTTGGGTTAGACATGAAGACAAATCAAGTGCAAAAAGCAGGGCTGGGAATGGGGGCACTGGGACTGCAGTGCTCTGGTCTCCCTCCCTAATTATGACACCTGATCTTTTCACTGCGTTCAAATAGTGTGAAATTATCCTGAGGGGAATGCCAAATGCCAGCTTGGATGGAGTTAGGTTGCTCTTTGCATGCTTGAAACTACTTTGGAACGAATCTCCAACACCCACCTCAGTGGTAGCGCTTGTTTGGCTAAACGAGGAGCGTTTTGGTACAAAGCAGTGCTGTGTAGAGCAGGTTGAATGTTTTAATCCTTCAGTTACTACATCTGCAAATAGCAAGGGTTTAAAAAACCAAATGATCTTAATGAAAACTGAAACATACTTGAATAGTGCGAGGGGGCTGTGGTGGCCTCTATGGTGGTGCACCTCTTGGAGGAGCTCTGCTTTCACCTCAGTAACCAGGTGAATGGAGGTACGTGGCCTTGCTGTAGATCCGGCAGATAACCGATAGGAAAAAGCTTTTTGCTCTGCTC